AAGCTGGAAGTGAACTGCCACGTGCACAGAGACGGAAGGAGGAGTCGAGAGCAGCCAGCCAGGCAGAAACAGATGTGACAGCTGTGGAGGAGACTGCAGGTGACAGGCGGGGTGCGATCTGAGGAGCCACAACAGTGCCCCGAGACAGGCCAGCGTGCACCCCGCGGGCCCTCACAAGATCTCTCCTGACTCTTTCTCCTCTCCCCACCCCTGCTCCCCACCTCGAGACCCCCCGAGCTGCAGCTGAGGTGGAGAAAGAAAAGCCAGCCTGTCCCCTCTGTCCCTCTCAGGGGCCAAAATCCAGAATTTGAAGAAGGAGCTTGAATTTTAAATGGGGCCTTTTCTCTGCTGCACTAATTACTGAACAAAATTTTGGAATAAACTTTTTACTACTTAAAATTGACCAGACACAGGGGATGCCCAGGTGGAGCGCGGAGGACCTGAGGGCAGGGAAGCTGCTCTGCAGGGTGCCACAGTGGTGAGTCCATGACGTCATGACACGTTTGTCCAAACGCAGGGAATGTGCCACAGCAAGGGTGAGCCCTAATGGAGAGTGTGCGCTCCGGGTGATGACAAGGCGTCACTGCGGCCTCGTCCACTCTGACAAATGCCCCAGCTGGGGCCGGGTGCTGACGGTGGGGGAGGCCGAGGGAGGGAGGTATACGGGAACTCCCTGTACTTTTCCTCATTTGCTGTGAACCTACAACTGCTCTAAAACGAGGTTCTTATACCTTCCAGAACAGCGGTGGGTCTTGGCATAGGTTTCACCCAAGGACCACAGTCCGCTGGTTCCCAGGGTCTGCCTTGTGCTGGGGACGGCTCAGCAGGCTGCCGCACCCAAGCAGTGAGAGAAACGGGCAGTGCTTGGACAGGATCCGGGCGAGCCAGCCAGGCTTGAGTCTGCCCCCCTGCCCTGAAGGAAAACCTGGGGTGCAGGGCGGGAGCTTCCGCCTGCCCCTCCCACGCCCGGGATCCCTCTGGGGAACCCAGCCCAGCCCTATTCGGTGTTCCAGCATCCTGGCCCTGCCCCTCCAAAGACCTCCTGAGAACAGACGTGGGGAAAAGGCAGGGGACAACGGGCCCTGGGAGTGCCAGGGGACAGTCCCTCTACACCAGCACCTGTGGCAGCTGCCCCTGTCCCCTCACGCACTTCCCCCTCAAGCCCGGCCCCAGCCCCCACTCACCCAAGGCCCAGGCTTTCCAGAGAAGGCCAAACAGGACTAAGAACAGCAGACTTTTGTTCAGGATCGATCCGAAGCTCAGAACAACAGGCAGCTCAGGCAGGTCTGCAAGGTCAAAGGCAAGCGTCAGTTCCCCAGGTCTGACCCTCCTGAGTCCACAGCGGTGTCTACCAAATGTTGTGCTCTGAAGCCCAGCTTGCTCCCTGCTTCCCGGCCTTGGGAGCAGCCAAGTGGGATTTGCACCCTTGGAAGATGGGGCCTCCACCTTTCCCGCGAGCCCCAAACCCACCCTTACCCCAAAGGACTCTGACGGATCTCCTGCCTCTAATACCTGCCCACCCCCTTCATCCTGCACATGGCTCCTGGGGAAGTCTGCACTGAGTGCCTCACTCTGCACCAAGGGGACCAGGGGAAGCCCTTAGCGCTCCCCATCGCCTATGGCACACAGAGCACTTGTTGACTCGGCATTCAAGGCTCTCCGCAATCTGAACTTATTGTCCTGCTTTAACCCATCTCCTCTCTCCACTCAGCCAAACCACCCATCTTGGTAGAGGACACACTCTGTGTGTGTGTCTCCACCACCTGCTCCCACACTCCCTGGCCCGGAACGAATGCCACGCTCTTCTACACTCTGTACGGCCTCTGCTACCTTCAAAGTTCCTCCTCCTCCAGGGAGTTTCCTCTGTCACTCACCTCCAGCCCCCACCCCTGCCACCAGCGCTGGGTGTCTCTCTGCTCATGTGGTCCTTAGAGCTGCTCTGTAGGGAAGGACATCTATTGGTCCTGTTCTTTAACTCCAGGAAAGAGGCTGCTGATGCTCAGACCTCACGCACGGCTGGGCGCGTGTTCTAGGTGTGATGCCTTGTCAGCAGGGGTATAGTAAGCCTTATGATCTCGGTTCTGCAATCTCTGGCTCCTTTCCTCTGGGACTGGTGGATGGGACATTTGCTACCTCAAGGCAGGAACATGAAAGGCTTGTGTTAGGGGTTAGAGATACAACAGAAGTGAAGGGCGTCCTGCCTGCTCAGGTTCGGGATGCCCCGGGCCTGCCTAGAGCAGGAGAGAGTCCCCATGTGGTCCAGCCTGGCTCTCTGGGGTCCACAAGTGAGGCGTGAACTTAGGACCCCAGCTCATCCCATAATATTCCTCTGCTTTGCCCTGGCCTCTGTGCAGCAACCCTCACTCAGACACAGCTTACTTTCAATCCAGACGGTCCTTTAGGGTGTGTTCTGTTTGGCAAGTGCCATGTTCTGGCAGAGACAAATTCTCTTCAGGGTCTTGATTGAGACCAGGTCCCTACTGGGTGCCCACGGACTGCTTGAGAAGGATGGGTTAGCACATTCTGGGCTCGCCCAGCTGTCTGAACACCCTCCTGGCTTAATCTGAGCCAGAAAGGGACCTCCCAGGTGTTTGGAACAACGTTTCTTCTCCTATAGGCTGAGCAGCTCTCTCCCAAGGTCATGACCATGGCATTCCACTCTGGCTAGGGGAGAAAGGGTCACAGGGTCCCACAAGGTCAAAGGTGGAAGGAGTGCTCCACACCATCCAGTCCAACCTCCCAACAGCAGGGTAGACAGGGAATGCCGTGGTGACATAGTACACAGTGGCAGAGCCAGCCCAGGACCCAGGGCTCCCGAGCTCTCTGCCTGTGTGTGCCTGTGATATCTTGCTGGTGTCGGCTCCAGGAACTCATTGAGCGAGCCTGGCCTAATTGCTCAGCTCTCAGCACCCTTCTGCACCCGGCCCGCCACAGCGCACGGGCCTGCTCACGGGGCCCCCAGCAGCCCTCCTGCTCTTGCTCTGACCCGTCATGGAGCTGGTCCATCAGGCAGGGAGCCCCCTCCCCTGCCCACCTTGGACTCCCTCTATTCCCATTCCCAGCCCCACTTCCCGCAGTGGGGTCGGGTGGACAACATCCATCCCCTCCAAATACCATCCCATTGTGCAGGTTTTTTTCTGTCGTCAGCCACTGCCACACCCTGCCCAGCCCACCTGGAAAAGTGAGGAAAAAATAAAGAACGATTCCCCACAATCTGCGGCAGAAATGTCCTCTAGGGGGCCCCACTACCACCCCAGAAAGACGCCTCCTCCTCTGCTGTTCTAACCTAACTGAAAAAGCAGCGGGGACCGCAGGCACACTGTGCGGAGGACTATGTCGCGGTCCTCCTGCAAGATCCACAATTCCCTCAGGCGGGCATTATCTGTACCAGATGCTGTTTCTTTGGCCGCATTAGCCTGACGTTTTCTCCAATTCCTGGAGAGAAAGGAACACGACGGTGCTGTTTTAAACACCACTGCGTGTTATTTGTGGTTTGATGAAAATAATTGTGTTTAGTCTATCCTTATTCCACTTGATACAGCTCTCATTTAATAACACGGGCTTGGTCTTTCTCAATCATTTTTCTTGTCTTTATCAAGACTTGGGTTAAAGAACTGGGCCAAAATCCAGTGACGGAGGGCCCGAGCCGTCCCCTGGCACCTGGAGTGGGCCACCGTTGCCAAGTGTAAAATATAGGGCCGTTATTTCTCCGAACTCAGTAAAGACACAGGAAACGAAAAGGTTGGAGCCATTGCATGTCACCGTGGGGAAGCCCACTGACAGGAGTGACAGAGGCCTAGAAAAAAGGGTGAAGTACTTGTCCAAGATCACTAAGTACGTGCAGGGCACACAGGAATGGAGAATCCAGAACCTTCTGTTACACAGCAATGGCCGCCCTTGCCTTCGCGGTTTTAGTACATCCACAGCATACGGGCACCAAGACCAGGCTAATAAAATGTCCCTGAGCCGAGGCCAGCTCCACTGGCTGTGTAATTGATTCGTGACCAGCCTGTTGCTCACTGATATCACTGGATGTTTCTCAAGGACTGAGGGATTCTGTTCTTCTAACATAGGGCTTCAGTGGGTTCCTGCAGTCCTGCCCACGGCACCGTCCCTTTGCTTGGTCAACTATTTGTGATCTCATGAAGTTCAACTTCAGCCCAGCTCTGCCCTGACGTTCACATGTTCAGGTCAGCCCGCATTCAGGTGGCAGGAGGGCCACGCTCTGTGGTCACAGAGGCCTCGCGAACTCACCGGCCTGAAAGGAGAGGCTCGTTTTGCCAGAAAAGCAAAGCATGGGCTCCTCTGTCCCCGTTCCGTCTCCCCGCAGGGGCAGACAGGCGTTAACAAAGGAGGAGGGGAACTGGCAGTGCTCCCATCAACCACAAGCAACTGGAGGTCAGTGAAATGCCCTTCCTTCTGCCCTCTGATATCTATTCTGCATCTACTGCTTTTTATTAATAAATCCCTTGAGAAAGGGAACAGCTTTCTACTGGCCAATCAGGGACCATCTCACAAATTCATCAGGGATGATCAGATGGGTGTCTGTGGATCCTGGCTGTACCACTCACCTGCAGAATGACACAGGGAATAACTTAGCCCCTGGAGTCTCCCTTGCACAGCGGAGACAGTGGGACTTGTTCCACAGTGGGGAGACTGACAAATCCGAGGCTTGGCACACAGTACATACTCAGTTAACTGCTTTCTCCAGCAGGTTCTCTGCCACAGGAAAGGTGACTTTTGAGATCACCTAGTTCAACTTCCTTGTCGTACAGGTGAGAAAACTGAGGCCCAGAGACGAGCTATGACTTTCTCAAGGTCACAAAGCAACAGAGTGGAAGACCCAGGTGCCCTGATTTCAGATCTGGAACTTTCCTCATTACTCTGTGCTCTCTCTCCAAAGCGGCCCCTCCTGGGAGATGGGATCCCAGCCCATTGGCTGTGCCTGAGGTGACCCTCCCCTGTTGGGGTTCTCACAGCTGCTCACCTGTGCACCGTACCAGCTGAGTCGGACGGTACGGGACGATGAGGTCCTGAGAAGACAGGTCGATCACACACTGGTTCAGCCCCAAGTCCTGCCTCTGAAGCTCTGTCACCGTCACCCTGGTTATGGCTTTGGTGGGATAATCCTCCAGCAGGTACCTCACGGCCTGGGCCTGGGTTAGATCTTCATTTCTAGTCTCTGAGCACCAGAGTCTCTGGGGGACCTGGCCCCTCATGCGCTGCCAGGCCTTGAGGCCGGAGCCGTGTTTCATGATGTCGTAAGGACAGACCCTGGTCAGGTTCTTCCCTGTCAGTGGCACACGTGCTGCTCGGCTTCGCCTGCAGCGCACAATCCTAGAATGGAGGGTCAGGTGCTTCACCGAGCACATGTCGCCTCTTCTGTCACCCCCGTACCCCCAGCTGAAACCACACCACAAAGGACCACAGATGAAGAGTATTCATAGCTCCATCAAGCATGAAGTAGTGATTTAGGATTCCCTGATCGCGCGCTCACGTGTGTGTGTGTGTGTGTGTGTGTGTGTGTACACCAGCAAGATACACACACGTATGGAGCGAATAAGGCAACGTATTGGTCACAGGTGAATGTTTGAATCTAGGTGATGAGTTGATGGTGGCTATTCTTTCTACATTTTGTAGCTTGGAAAATGTTCGTAATAAAAAGGCACAAAAGAATTTTGCCAGATTCACCACCCATTTTCTACTCTACCTGCGGTGGCCCAGACATGCCCCTTGCCTCCCGGTACACAGTCCTTTGTATCGGCTCCTGGGGTCTGGCGGATGATGCTCCTCCTTCCTCTCCACCCATACCCATCCCGCTTGGTCCCAGAGTGGAGTCTACCTGAACCGTTCCAGCTGCACTCGTTGCTTTCTCCTCTTCACCCTCAATACCACGATCACCCTGCACCTGGTTACATCATCGTCACCGCCATAATTTTTTAAGCAGTTATTATGCCTAAATACTGAGCCAAGAGCTTTCCCTCTGTCTTCTGTCTGACTCTTGGGACAACCCTCTGAAGTAGGCACTATTTACACAGAAATACCTATGAGCGGGTGCTACTTATAAGTGAGGAAACTGGGCCTCATAGAGGTTGAGGACTTTCTCAAGGCCACATATGGAGAAAGTGGCAGAGATGGAATTTGAACCCAGCTCTGTCTGATTCCAGAACTCTTGCCCTCTTTTCCACACTCCCCCTCTGAGCCTTGCTAGAGTGGCTTCCACAGCAGTTTTGTTGTCTTGTTGCTACTTGGCCCTTTGTCGTTATTCCCCTTCTCCTCGGCTAACGCTCCTCTGCACGGTTCCCGAAAGGTCAGTCCCATGGTGGCGCTTTGCCTTACACCTCTTTACATCTCCCAGCACACCAGCGCAGCGCTGCGGCATTGCTTGGTTGACTCCAGCTCATTTTTTCAACTTCAAAATGCACTAGAGGAAGCTCCAGCTCGTTTCCTTGCCCAGTCCCTGCTGGGTCGGGGGGACCAGGGCAGGGCCATCCCTTTTCCCTTTCCTGTTGGTAACACATACCCTCCTTCTCCCATTCCAGTCCATCCTAAAGAAATGAGAGACAAGTGCTCGAAGCGGGTACCTCTGCTCAGCTGTCTACAGCCCTCTGCCTGCGCCCCCTCGCCAGCATCCTCACCTGCTCTCCTTACCTGAGACACGGAGCAGCAGCAGCAGCAGCAGCAGCAGCAGCTGGGGCCACCCCGAGAGCCCTGCCCCCTCCATTCTATCCCGCTCCCCAGGTGCACTGCCCGCCAGCTGTCCAGGGCCTCTTCCAGTTACTGGAGGATGTTGCCCCACATGGGTGTTTACCATCTTCCCTGGGAGGCTGGGCTGTTGCTGTACAATTGAGAAACCCTGGGGGAATGTGACGCAGGGGAAACAGCTCAGGAAGCTGCAGAAGAGGAAGAAAGGAGCGTTGGGTGCCCTTGAGACAGCTTCCTTCCAATTGTCATTGTGTCACAGTCCTGATGGGACACGCTCAGTAGCTCCCCGTTCTGCACCATGGCAAGTCTACATCCACCCACCTGAGGTCCCCACTGCTCCACTCACCTCCTCGGGTCACCAAGACCTCATCATCACTGGCTACCGACCCTTACATGCTGCAAGCCCTCAGGCCATTCTCCCCAACTGAAACAGTACGATGCCTCCACATTTTGCTCACCCTCTGAGGCCAGGTTCAAGCCTTTCTGATAACCCATCCTCTTTAATCTACACTGCACCATGGTTCTTATGTATGGCCTTGTGGCTGACTCACTCGGGAAGCTTGGTACACACGCACGTGCCCAGGCTCCACCTCTAGACATTCTGATTTGGCAGGTGTAGAGGTCCTAGAAATCTGCATTTTTCAATTTTTTTTTTTTAGAGATGGGGTCTTGCTATGTTGCCCAGGCTGGTCCCAAACTCCTAGGCTCAAACAATCTTCCTACCTCCACCACCCAAAGTGCTGGGATTATGGGCATGAGTCACTGCACCCAGCCAGAAATCTGCATTTTAACAAGCAGCACAAGTGGTTCTGAGGCAAGTGGTCCAAATAGACCACACCTGCAAGGGCTCTGTATGAGGTCAGACGGGCCCTGCTGCATGCCCCAGGTGCTCTGCCTGTGTACGAGGTGTGTGCTTCCCTGAGCTATCCAGTCTCGGCCAGGCATGCAGACCACAAATAAAATAGAAACAGCAGTAACCACCACGGATTGAAGTGCTATTGTGTACCAGGTGCTTTACTCAGGTTATCTCATTTAATGCTGCCAACACTGGGAGGTTTTGTAATGAAAGTTTGTCATCTTTGGGCTCTCCAGCATCAAACACATTTTCCCTTTGGGGGACATGCACCCGTGTGTGAGTCTCACTTGGAAGCAGAGCTCTGCTTCCCCTTCTGCGCAGGATGGAGGCAGATGTCCCTCCCACCCTTCTCCCTGGCAGCTGTGTTGCAGGCATGTGACTTGACCCAAGCCTGGCCACATGTGTGATTCTGCCCAGGATTCTATATCTTCACGATGAAACACCAGATACAGGGCCAGCTGGAGGCGACTCACACAGAGGCAATTTAAGCATTCAGAGACCAGAAATAGCATGGTAGCAAGAGATTGGTGGCCTCAAGTGGCCAGGGCAGTGATTAATGGCAGCGCGGCTGGACTATCTCATGTTGTGACCTCAGCTATGGCCTCTGCTATCCATTCTCTCTTGGTTTCTGTCCAAACCAAGAGAGTTTGGGCAAAATCCTTGTCCTCCAGCCTTCTCATTGATCCTGAGTTGCTGACATCCTTCTAGAATTCCTTTGCTGTTTTAAACAGCCAGAATTGGATGCTGTTGTTGGCATTCAGAATCATCCCTGGCATGGTTAGGCAGCACCATGCCCTGCAAGGGTGCAAAGCTAGGATTCAAACCCGAACCCTCCAAGGCCTGTGTCATTAACCACACAATACTATTGTATCAGTCACGGCCCCAGAAAGACAGGTAACTCACTGAAACCGGGTAATTAAGGAGTGTTTAATAAAGATGTGGTAGCATTTGGGGGAACTAGTAAGGGGTGCTTCAGTACACTGAGGCTGGCAACAGTGGCGAGTCATTGCCACCTCTGGGCCTGCAGGAGCAAGAGGATGGCGCAGGTGGCCGAACTTAGAGATAAGAGCTGTTTGGTGAGGGGCTTGGCGGAGCCTTCGGAGAGGAATGCAGCCACTCCTGCCACCACCAGAGAGGGAACCCCAAGCATAGAAACCCTGACCTCACTCTCCCCACCCTCTGCTCTTCTGTCTTGCTGCCCATTGGCTCAACCCACCAGAAGCTGGTGGCCAGGGGGCTGTTGATTTAGCCACGTTGGGCGGGTTCCCAGGCAGGGCAGGAAGGATGGCCTGCAGGCGCAAACGGGAGAGCATCCGGCACAACCATTTCTCTTCCAATTTAGCATATATAATTTTTCAGGCAAGTTTAATACATTGGACTTACATACCACTTTATCTATAACTAAATTTAACATATGAGCACACCAGACCAGGTTGGTTATCTGCATGAACATGTCATGGGCTTTGCTAAGGAGCATGATGACTTCTTGGACACAAGCTTGAGCACCACACACTAAGAGAGGGCCGTACGCTAGAATGCAGTTGGTCTGGAGGGGCCCTGGGATCTAAGAATTTGTTTTATGCTCCAGGAGGATCTGACCCAGGTGGTCTAAAGACTACACTTTGAGAAACACCACCCTCGTGTGTTCCGACTCTCCTAGAGAGTATTTAATTATAGTACCCCCTTGCCTTGGATATTTTGTCAAATTTATAAACAGGAGCAACTGGAATTGCTAAAGGGCAGGTCCCAGACCAGCAGCCTTGGCATGCAAACACTGTGTGCTGTGTAGCCACTGCCTCTGAGCCGCTTGGTTCTTCTAGACGGATCGACAGCTTCTGGGTCAAGTGCTTCTCTGAAGAGTCTCACCAGAGAATCAGGATGATTTAAATGCCCCTCACACATCTTCTAATGGACTCAAAACTGGTGGGTTCAGAAATAACCTCCCTGGGTTAGTGCCAGCACCTGGGCAGGTGCTCACAGAGCAGTGTTCAGGTTGATGGGGAAGCCCTTACGTGACGGAAGCGGGCTCAGAAAGAGGGAAACTGGGCCTTAGTGCTCAGGGTATTTTTTCCGCCCTTTGTGCTGATTGTAGGAATGTGTTTTCCAAACGTCAGACGGATTGAATGTGTGGGAAAGTGTGACTGCTCTTGGGGAATTTAGGATGACATTGGCCTTGGCCATTGCTAAATTGGAACGGACGGACCCACCATCCTTCCCCCAAACCCCACGATGCCCTTTCCCTTTAGAGCCCACAGAGATAGGAAATAGCAAAACCTTGATTGAAATCTGTTAGAGATCACATGACACAGGTAGGGCTGGGCGCTATTTCTTGGGTAAGGGCACTGGAGCGGGGACGGGAGCTACAAGGGGGAGCTCCACTGAGGAGGAGGAAGGCAGAGTGAGGAATGGGGCGAGCACGTGGGGACAGCCTTCAGGAGCTTCAGTGGAGAGAGTTTGTCACCCCACCCTCCCTGCCCCCTGTGAAATACAGGAAGAGAGGCATTTAGACATAGGCAGAACTCCAGGTTGTTCTATTCTGTATGGCTTTGGGGTCCTTCAGTAAAGGAGCTCTTTAGTTTGCGTTCCTGCCAGTAAGTGGTGACATCGTTCATGTGGCTTCGTTCTAGTCACATGCATCTCCGCCTTCATGGAATTATTTGCAGGATCCAGAGATAAAAATGCACAAAGCACACCCGATATCGTCTACCGATGCTTTCCTACAGATCCCATCTCCTCCTGCCAGTATTTTCCCAGGACAGGGTATTCCACTTAACTTGTTTTCTCTTTCCCAAATATGCAATTCGTGCTATGGTATCTTGTTTTCCCCACAGTGCATGGTCTTCAACGCCCTTTTCTGGGAGTGTTGGAAAGCGCCATGTATGAAGAGTGATGCACAAGCATCTGAGGCTAGAGAGAGGAAGTCCCGGTGGTGGGGCGAGTGGGATGCTCCTGTAGCGGGAGCTCTGCCCAGGTCAGGCCGATATTGTATGTTCCTGGGCGAGGACGAGCCAGAGAAATATCAGGTGTGCCCTCTGTGCCCCACGACCGCCACAGGAGAGCAGCAGTGAAAAGCACTGGACTGTCTATAGTTCACGCAAGCCCCAAGCCGCCTGTGGGAGGAAGGGCATGTTCGGGGCTGCACCTTCTCTTCTGAGAGGGTGAAGTGCACACCCGAGGTTATTAGTGAAATGAGGGGAATCGGCAGGGCCAGGGAGGTGGGATCCTGACCTTAGAAACAGCCAGTGATCACAGATAAAATTCATGTCATTAACAACATACACCCAGTTTTTCTCCCTCCACCCTCCACTCCTCTCCCAGCACAACTGCCAGATGGTTGTGGCTGGAGGTCAGAGGTCATTCTCATGGGTTCATGGATCTACAGTCAAAATGACTTCTGGGTGACAGCAAGCAAGACGGTGAAGACCAGGCTCTTAGTCAGGAGTCCACAGGCCACGGGGACGACAATGCTGAACACAGAGACCCTGGAGGAGAGAGGAAATTGAGCGCTGCTCCTGGCAATGACTCCTCCACACCTGAGTGTTCGCTTTGCGAAATTCCTTCACGTCCTCGTCCTATCCGCTTAGGTCCTTCCAGCACCTTTCCCACACCGTCTGACCCTGTGCCTTCCATTGCCACTGATGAGAAGTATGTTCAGTAGACACCCAGGGTCCATGGCAGGAAAGGCACCAGGGAGCGAGGGCAAGCTCATCAGCCCCGCCGTCCTCCCGTGTGACCCAGTAGGGACAGTGGGGCCCCAGACCCACCTCCTGGGATAGTCACCTCACCTCTTTGTTTTCAGTTTCCTCATCTATAAACGGAGAAGAATCCAACCATACTGAATATCCTATCGTGCATTTTTATAGATTGTGGTAAATTCATTCTAGGTGTTCTGGGTGAACATCAATAGGCATCATAAGAAAGAGACGCAAACGAGTGAGGGAACACAGCCTGTGCCGTCAGTGGGCACGGACTCAGATGAGAACACGAGGATTCTACATGACAGACAAGGGGAAAAACAGAGGAATAGGTGCAACGGAACAAATAGAAGGCCAGACGTACAGCTAACGTTACACAAGAATTTAACATGTAAGGAAATCGGCAACCCAGTAGGCGAGGCAAGGATTGCTTAGCAAATAGTCTTGTGGTATCTGGAGAGCAATATGATAAAAATAAATCTTTTCTAAAATTTATACCGTGTAGCAAAAAATCCCACCCCATGGACTAAAGATTTAAATAAAATGGCAAAAATAAAATCATAGAAGAGGTCACAAGGAAATAGAATCAGGCACATTAAAAAATAAAGCAAAGCAATCCATTTAAAATCAATGCATCCGCCTACACAAAACTTAAAACCAAACACACAAAATAGCAAAGAGGGAAATGACACGATGCCGACAGAAAGCAGAGACTGTCCCTTTGCCTGAAATTCACCCCTGGCGGTGGGGCCCACCCTGTAGCACAGGGTGGGGGCTGCATTCCCAAGGCTGCCTGGTCAAGGTCAGCAACTGGCGGCAGTAGCCGGATAGGGGACGGGGTGTCTCCCTTGACCCTCACATTGTTGCAGTGCCCCCTCGCCCTGCCTCTGCCGTGATTGGAGTCTTGCAGCGGGGAGGTCCGGCTTCTGGGCTCAGCTAACTCCGCCTCCTCCCCAAGTCTCTCCTGCCAGCGTCTGCCCTGTCCCTTCATGGCCTCCTACCGTCTTCCTACCGGGGCTCCCAGGCCCGTCCATTTCCAGCAGGTCACCAACCGCATCTTTCAGAGGCTGCACACAGGCTGCCCATCCCCTGCAGTGTCTGGGAATTTGTGTGCCCCTGGTCTGGGTTAGAACTGCCCTTTAAACCATCACCATGGATGTGGGAGCATCAGTCCTCCAGCTCCCTGCCCCATAAACTCTGAAGGTGACCCATGGTCCCCAGAGCTCCCTTGCAAGACTGAGCCAAAGGTACCCCGGTGAGTCCTGCCTTGGTTATGACACATTTGCTCGGCTTCCAGCTTCCTTCCTTCCCTTCCCAGTCCCCCTTCCTCAACAGCTTTGCCGGAGATTTTGTTCAAAACATCTTAGCAATACTTTTTTCCTGTGGCCTGCTTCTGGGGAACCAATCTTGAGCTAGGATGATAGTGGCCATCTCTGCAGGGCCTCACTGTCCCCAGGTTGGGGTCTCACCTCTTCTAGCACCTGGGAAAACAACGTCCTGCATTAATTAAGTTCCTTCTTTTTCAAACAGCCGCAGGGCCTTCTGCTTTCCTGACTGGACTCTCACTGACGGAAAAGTTAATATTCGATAACAATTTTTTTTTGAGACAGAGTTTCACTCTGTTGCCCGGGCTAGAGTGCTGTGGTATCAGCCTAGCTCACAGCAACCTCAGTCTCCTGGGCTCAAGCGATCCTCCTGCCTCAGCCTCCCGAGTAGCTGGGACTACAGGCACGTGCCGCCATGCTCGGTGAATTTTTTCTATGTATGTTTAGTTGTCCAGCTAATTTCTCTCTATTTTTAGTAGAGACAGGGTCTCACTCTTGCTCAGCTGGTCTCAAACTCCTGAAATCAAACAATCCTCCCGCCTCGGCCTCCCAGAGTGCTAGGATTACAGGCGTGAGCCACCACACCTGCCCCCTCGATAATACTTTTAATAGATCACGTTAACAGATAAAAGAGGTAGAGCCTCTAGCGGGAATACAGGCAAAGATTATACACTCTCAACTTATGCGTTGGAAAATGAAAGTAGTGGGAAAAGAAAAATGTTGGCTCTCACCTGATCTTTCATTTGATTTATTCCACAAAGATTCAATGAGCACTGACTGTGTACCAGGCACTTAGGCTGGTGTCGGTGGAATTATATAAGGGAAAACAGGCACTGTCTCTACTCACACGGAGCAGGAGTCCACATTCACAGACAAATCGAGGCAGGCACCACTTTGCACCCGTTTTAGCAGGAATGTGTTTAAAACGCTAACTTTATGTTGTCAGCAAGTCCACAGTGACTCCGCTCCACTAGGCCCCACGGATCGCACCGCAGACGGTGTCGGATCTGCCGGAAGACTGTTGAACTATGCTATGCGTATGCAGAATAACATCGATGTCCAAATTCTCTAATGGGAATTATGTTTGGATAAACAATTTAAAAAAAGACATCTGCAAGAATATGGTCACCTCAAAGTTATCGATACTATAAAAAATGAAAACAATATCAGTGTCTCAGAACAGGCAAACGATTATGGCTCTTCTGATTAATAGAAAAGTATTCGTTCATTAAAATTATATTTATGAAGACTAGCTAGCAGCATCAAAGAATAATTGTAGCAGGGAAAATAATGAAAATGTTTATAATCAGAATTGCTGCTGTGTTAAAATATGTATAAACATGAATAAACACTAGAAAAGAATATGGAGAACAAAGACATGTTAGATTAGTGGGAATGTGGAAGAATATTTCTTTCCCTATTAATTCAATATTTAATGATAAACCCATTCTAAAATAAATCATTTAATAATAACTGCAGGGGTGTGTGGATGCTACATTAGTGTTTCTTAACTTTGTCTGCATATTAGAAAACTCCTGAAGAGCTTACAAAAAATACTAACAGGTCTTAACTCTAGAAATTCTGATTCTGTTGATCTACGATAAGGCATATGCATCAGTATTAAGAAAAAAAGAAAGAAAAAAGAAAGCAAAGCAAAAACAAATCCTCCAGATAATCCTAACATGTAGCTATTCTGAGAGCTGTTGGGTAGATCATGTCCTCCAGCTCCGATTTTCTAGCATCCCTGCTGAACCAACAAGGGAACCAATGCCAGAGAGGGCTCCTGACTCACCCAAATTCACACAGTCTGGCTGACACCAGAATGTAGGTGCCCACTCGGAGTGTGTTTACCACTACCCATTAGACCCTGGGACGGGGTAAGGTCCATTGGAATTTGGGAAACATGCCATCCCCCTCTCCTTACTACTCTGGTGTGCAAGGAAACTGGGAGGCTGAACTGAGAATGACAGCCTCACAGAGAGCCTCCCATCCCTCCGTCACCACCTCCTCCTTCCCCGGGACATTTCTACCCAGACTGAGGTGACTCAAGCCTGCTCGTGCCCCACCCTTCCCAGCCCTCACTCCCCACATCCTCTCAGCACATGGAGTAGGGAGCAAAAGGTTCAGTGCCCAATCCAGGGACCCAGAGGCCTAGAAACCATACCTGGTGACATTTGTCACATTTTGAAGGTTGATTCCAGGGCCAGGAGTGGAGACGACAGCAGTTGAACTGAATGGAGCTTGGGTCATGGTGCTGGAGCTGGTATATGGTAGGCTCAAGGCCTTGGTGGTAGTAAGAGGAACTGTGGTAATCTCAGGCAAGTTCTGAGTAGGATTCTTGCTGGAGGCAGTAATACCTAGAGGATTTGCAAGAAGTCACATTAGAAGGATGGATGGATGGATAAATGGATGGATGGATGGATGGATGGATGGATGGGTGGATAGATAAGTGGGTGATTTAATGGATGTATTGTTGGTAAGTGGCCAGAGGGATGAAATGAATGGATGGATGGATGGACGATGAAGGGGATGAATGGGTGGATGGAGGGATGAATAGATGGACGAGTGGATGGATGGGTAGGTGGTAGGGTAAATAGACCTGAGGAGGGAAATGCACATGGCCAAGAAACAGGGTTTTCTTTTGCTAAAACCAAAGAAATACTGTTGGATCCACCTGAGTTAGAGACGGAAAGAAGGAAAGGAGGAAGGAAGGCAGGGAAGAAGGGAGGGTGGAGGGAAGAAGAAAGGAATTTTCAGGCTATTCATGTTGTTGGAACTGCACTTGCCTGCTACTCCTCACCAGTGCCTATGCCCCCACCTTCTCCAAGAATAATTCCCTGATTACTCTACCCTATATCATTTACTCTGCTTTTCATTCACCTGTAGCTGTGGCATATTGCTTTACAAGTTATCTTTTATTTGCATATTGTATATGTACCTTGTCTTTCTTAGGCTTAACATTTCCCTGATGCTAGGAACTTGAACCTATGTCCCTTTCGCCAGTCTTCCATACATTATTCCTTAATTCAGTGACTACTGAGGGCCTACTATGTGCCAGAAACTACGTTATGTGCTAAGGATAGAGAGCTCAGAAAGGCGCTGGTCCTCCCTTCAAGCAGCTCTGAGATGAACAGGGGAGACAGGTAAGTAAACCGGTCTCCACTATCCAGTGAGATGGTGTTGTGCACAAAAGGGACACAAAGTGAGCTCTGGAGACTCAACTCCCCCAGATGGGAGCCACAAGGACCCACAGCACCAGCAGCACCGGCATCACTGGGGAGCTCATTAGAAATGCAGATTCTTGGGTCCCCTCTGTACCTATTCAGTCGGAGTCTGCCTTTGAAATAAGGTCCCCAGGTGGTATGTGCCCCTGGCAAGATCTGAAGAGCTCTGCTTTAGAAGCACACAGGCGGGCCACCAAATGCATCTGTGGGAGGGGGACTCTGGATCACAGGAGGCTTCCCAAGGACATGGATTCTAAGTGGAGACCTAAGGAATGAGACTAAATTAGCCCAACTTTGCTGTTCACCTTAATGGTACCCCAATTCCTACAACTGCACCCCAAATTAGGCACTGCTACCCAAAGGGAATGCCATATATTGCAGCCCCTACTTACTATTAGACCAAATGCCTCTCGAGGACCTCAGATGAGAGACAAGGAGCTTCTAGGAAAAAGACAGGCTGCTAGGAATCCAAGCCCCAGCTCTGCTGGTGCTGCCACCACAGCCCCATCCTCACCTGGCCTGCCTCTCCCCCCGCCACCCGCAAGTCACTCACCCTTGGTCACCACCAGGCGGACAGGATAGAACAGCATTTTAGGGACAACGGGAGGGTGGTAGACCACACACTGATACAGTCCCGAGTCTTCTGCTTGAAGGTTTGTCATTTGTACGTGGAGTAAGAAATCATCAGGGATTTCTTCTAGCGTGATCCTCCCCGCTTGGACTTGAATGGGCTTCCCCGAGGGCTTCTCTATGAGTGCCAGGGTCAGTGGCTCCCCTCCGTCTATCAGCCTCTGCCAAGCCTTCTTGCTGTAGGCATATTTATCGGACCCGAAGGGACACTTCACCTCCAGGGTCTCTCCCTCTGCCCGTTTATACTGTTCTACATGAGATGATTCAGCTGCAGCTTGGCGCTCTGTTAGCAAAGAAAGAGAATTAGGTTCTGTGAGGAATCGTTCTTCCCTCTTTGGAAAAAGAACGAAAGGAGAGGAACCACCAGTTTTTCTCATCCAAGCACCCATTTTTCAGACAAGGTCCTTGAGGCCTCTAGGGAAGGTACAACTTTCCCTGCAAGCCCGCTCTAGACCTCGGATCTTTCTGCGGCGGGTAGCTGTTTTACCAGAAGAGTGAGACTGCATATAGTGCATGCTAACCAAATTTTATAAATGATCATTTTGAGAGGAAAAAATTGCGTGACTGGGGACAGAACATGGGACATTTTGCTGAGACCATGAGTGGCGAGGGCATGAAGAAAGGGAAAGATTATGGAGAGGGCCGTATAGCACGAAAAGTGAATGCGAAGACATGATACTAGCAGAGAGTGTCTCCCCAGGACAGCTTGAGGAACTTCATCCAAGTCCGGGCAAAGATATCAGTGCAAGAGACCATTCGACGCACAGTGAGGAAGCCATCCTGACAGCATGGTAGACACTGACATCTAACTGTGACACCCGGCACTCCTTTCCACCTTCCTTCGGTAGGAGAGCACCTCTTTCTCAGGGGAGCCATCCTCTGTGGCTCCACGGATGGGGCTGTCCACATCAGTGGACACGTGACACAGACTTTGCCAATCAAAGTCTCCCATCATCCTGGCCATGCTGATTGGTTTAGGAAAGAGCACATGACTTGGCTGGACCTATCAGAATCCTCCCTGAGACTGCTATTGCTATTAAGAAAAATATTTTTTCTTGCTGGGGTTGATAAATCCGAGAGATGTGAAACGTTCTACAATGTGAAAATAGGCTACCCGTGAATGAGGCCAGAGAGAGAGAGAGAGAGAGCACGTGTGAACATGTGTGCACAAGCTAACAGGATTATCTGAGTCATGGACTCAGCTGTGCTCCAAACCAGCACCCCTTGTACTTCCTAGTACCTGAGCCTAGAAATCCTCCCTCCTATTTTTGATGTCAAGGAGTCACAGCAGTGGTTCTCCATTGGGGACACAATTTTTGCCCCCCTGGGGACACTAGGCAATATCTGGACATTTTTGGTTGTTATAACCTGGGATGGGGTGGATCCAACTGGCATCCAAAGGAGGCCAAGGATGCTGCCGAGCATCCTACAGTGCACAGAATGCCCCCATAACAAAGAATTGCCCCACCCAAAATGTCAATAGTGCTCAATTTGAGAATCCCTGGTCACAGGGACATTAGTTTCAATCACATTCTTGGAGATTAAACCAGATTAACCACCTAGAATTGGGAGTGATCTTCTCTGGTCCATGGGAGACTTGCTGACAGGCGGCCAAGCAGAGCAGAATGAGAAGATCCAGGTGTGTGGTTTCAGCTGGACACAGAGGGTTCTATAAGTTTACTGAGGGACTGTGGCTTATCCACTCCAGCCTGGGACACCTTCCTGCATGGAACACCAAATAATGGGCTAGACAGTTTGACCCACAGTTTGCTGAGTCAAACTGTGGGGCAGGTTGCCACAACTACTGCTGTTATTAATACTACTACTGATGCACGCTGTAATCCTTACGTGCCAGTGAAAAATGCCAAGGGCTGTCCCTTTGGTGGAGGCCCTGCATGCCCACCCCAGGCTAGGCCAACAGCTCTGCCTGACCGTGGGAAGACCCAATTCAGGGACTCATGAGCATTTTGAAGGTGAAGGCAGGCTTGAAGGCTGATTCTTCTGGGGCCAGACTTCAGTTTCTAACGAAACCTTGCAAACAAGCCTTCTGGACGGTTCCCATGAACTCCGGTCAGGAATTCCCCTCCAAGAGACAGGTGAGCAGAGGCTGAGGGGGCCCTAAACCAAGTCTGGTTCCCTCGTTTGTTCACTCACGCATCAGTTTGTGGCTGACTGTCTTCTCTGTGCCAGGCACAGTGCTGGGCTCTGCGAAAGTCATAGGGACTCTATCCTCAAGTAGCCACCACCAAAGCCCTAACCTCTTAAATTAATGTCACAGAGAAATTTCCATTATTTGCCAGCTCCCCAGGAGAGGGGGAAGTGACAGGTGACTCAGTGTGCTTACAAATTTGCCTAATCTCTTGTGAAAGCAGACAGTATGAAATGAAGGCTGAAGTGCTGTCTATGCATCATTACAAGAAAGAAATTTCTTATAATATGTTAATAAAAAGGATAACAAATTCTATCTATTGAATATTATATGCTAAGTGCTTTAGAAAAAAACTATCTTATTTAGTCTTTACGATTTAAAAGGTTAAAACCATTATTCTTCCCATTTTATAGATAGTGAAACTGAGGCACAGACAGGTTAAGGCATTTGCCCAAATCCTCAGAGTAGCTAAGTGGTGGAGCCAGGGTACAAACGTGAGGAGTTTGATTCCAGAGTCTGCTCTAAAGCACTGAGCTACGTTGCCCAACACGGCTGTCAAATAGGGATTAGAGCAGTCCTGGCCCAGGCATGCATAGGTGTCTGGAAGGAGCTTGCAGGGTAACATACTCCCACAGGGCATAATGAAATATATACCACTGGTTTTCTCTCGCACAATTCCACAACCCTCAACCCTCTGCCATCTCCCAGTTCTCCTTCAGAGAAACACAAATAAAACACAAAGAAACACACTGGTCCATGAGAACCTGATTCCCACCTGCCCACCCGGATTATCACCCAGCTCCAAGGAGACCCAAAGCAAGGTTTGTGGTCAGGCTCTGCAAGGCAGTTCTCCCTAACCTTGCTCAAAGTAGTGGGTCCCAGGGGAGCACCCTCTTCCTGGTCTTTCATGTCTTCCCACGGCAAACCTTGCCTTCAACTCACGTCGACATTTTCCCTCTGTTATTCATAAGGGTTAAGAGAAGGAGTAACTAAAGTCCCAAATGCTTCCATTGTTAATGCGGGTGTGATCTGTGCAGATTAGAAGAGGAGAAAAGTAAGGGCTGGGGGATAGACCAGCCCTGCCAAGCCTGAACAGCAGTGCTCTCCGGCCCCGGCATGTAACGGAGAGCAGGGCTGACGCCCTCCACCAGCAAGGTTACCAGGCCTCTTCTGTTCACATCTGTGTCCTCAGCTGTAGCATATCTGCTGGCCCACAGCAGGCCACTGGGAAATGTTTGTTAAATAAATTATGTCCTTTGGGTTTAACAGACGGTCAACATCAAAAGCATCATGACAGAATATAAGGAAAAAAATTCAACATTGAATAAAATTATTTTAGATGATGCCAAAGTTACTTTATCATTATTCTGGTCCGGGGCTTCGCATGTCTCTGACAACATCAAAATATACAGACATCTTGCTTCCCTAACCCATCCCTGCTTTTACTTATGTGCTCAGGCTCTGGACATCCTCCTGATTCTGCTAAGTCTGGGTACAGCAGCCCCATCTGCCATAACTACTTCTTGGCTCTACCTTGGATGGCCACGTGCTCTGGAGCTTCAAAACAAAAGGACTCCCTGAGGCCTCCCCTGCTGACGCCTCTTCCTTGCCTTACCTGAGACCAAGAGCACCCACAGCAGCCCCCGGAGCCAGGCCCTCCTCATCCTGCCGGTGCATCAACTCCAACTGCTGCTGCGGGCTCCTGGGATAGCTACAAGGCACCACTCTGACCTACAGGCTATGGAAAGTTGCACAACAGGATATGAGGCCATTCCTGGGAGGCACTGATGCTCTGTTTCATCACGAGTGGTTCTGGCTCCGGATGTCAGCGCAGGAACCCAAAGACCAGGGCTCAAGTTCCAGTTAAGTTTCTGTGAACTCCAGTTTCCTCTTCTCTGGAGCTGATAGAGATTAAAAACCTTACAAACTCTTAGTGAGAATAATGCTTTTGTGTAAATAACAGTAAGTTATTACTATTAGGAGGAACAGAGGGCCCTCAGCTCTTCTGAGATCCCCTCCATTCCCATCCAGATCAGGGTAGTAAAGAGGGTCCGGCCCATGGAGGGAAAGGTTGGGACAGTTCTGTCTCACTTTCAGGGTTTTTGCGAGGATTAAACAAGCTCTCTGTGTAAAGTGCTCAGTACAGCTGTACCTAACACACGTGTTACTTCCACATCCTGTCCTGCTAGCCTCCACCCTGTTTCTCTCGGCTTCTGCTGACTTAAGGCCAACTCCTCTTCATCACCAGCCGGCCACACCTTGCACTTGCCCTCAGCATTGTCACAGACATGGCCTGGGAGCTCAGAGGGGTGTAGGTGACCCCAGAAAGGATTTTCCAGGACATTGCTTCCATTAAGCAAGAATAGACATAGATAAAAAAAAAAGGAAGCAGGGTTAGGGGCAATGAAGAAAGAAGGAAAAGAAAGACAGAAACAAGGGAAAGCAGGTTCCATACAAGAAGCCACAAAAGGCAGATCCGACGGTGCCAAAATCAAATCAATAACAGAAGGGATTCACTTCAGAAATACTCCCAAATGCGTAATGAATGGATATTTTAAAGAGCTCAGAAATTTATGGGAGCACAAATCGTAGAAATCCAACCTGCAAATAAGAGATGTCGTTAAGATATAAAATGGTATGGTGGATCATAAACAAAGATTTAAAAGTATATTTCTTAAAAACACTTTCTAGGTCTGAGAAGAAATCTAAAATTAGAGGTTGAGGGAGTTCAACATGGTGAGGAAAAAATTCATGAAGTGAGACCAAGACTATGAAGTTGTTAGGTGAAATTTTTAAAATTTAAATAGAGAGACTCCTGCTGCTAAACAAACATGAAAAAAAATGACTTGATTCCTTCAAAGGAATTGATATAAGAAAGACTCAGATTTCTTCTCTGAGTAACAAATGCCAAGAGTGAGATGAGGGGTAAGGAACAATTCGACCCTAAAAGTTTACCCAAATTGATTTTGAAATTTTCTGACTCGGAGAGGAACCTACACGATTTCGTAGCAGTGAGTCAGATGAACACAACGCATTTAAGTAAACAAATCCCGTTTCTTACAACACGTAAATAATGGCTATTCCACACACTTTCTCCATTTTTGTGTCTTCACGTACTCTTTGTGGTGAGGGTTAAATTCCTGGAAGATTAAGAGGAAACTTTGAATTAAATGGTCCAAGAAGGATTTCTAATTAGACTTGAATATCACCAGAAGCTGACCGCCCTTACGCACTATCATAACTACACATGGCACCTGCATTTAAATTAGAATAAAGTCTTGCTCCAATCGTTTGAACACTTTGTGTACTTAACAGAATGTGAATACAGTCTTGTGCAGCCTCAAGATGGGGATATGCTCTGCGAAATGAGTCGTTAGACAGTTTTGTTGCCATGGGAACACCATAGAGTATACTTCCCCAACCTAGAGGTACAGCCTACTACATCCCTAAGCTACACGGTACAGCCTATCACTCTTAGGCTCCAAACCTGCACAGCATTTACTGCCCTGAATACTGTAAGCGATTGTAACACAGTGGTATTTGGGTATCTAAACACAGAAAAGATACAGTAACAATACAGTATTATAATCTTATGGGTCCACCCTCCTGTATGTGGTCTGTTGTTGAGTGAAACACCATTTTGCGGAGCATGACTGTGCTCTCTAATCCCCATCTCCTTATCTTCCTGGGGAATTCAATGACCAATCCAGTATTTGAAATTCTCAAACTACTTCTCCCAAAAGGCTATTATCTCTTAAGGCCTCCTGTCAAATAGCCTTGTGAGTTGTGACCTGTGGTTTCTTTTAATTTTATTAAGACTGAGTCAAAAGTCCTGTTTCCATGCTTACTCCTTCGGTGACTTTCTCTAGCACCAGCACGATTTATTCTTGGGATACCATGATCTTTTTTGTATTTGTCAAACTTTATCTTCAGTGCTATATAAAAGCCTGTACAAATATTATTTTGTTTTCTTTTGTTTTTTTTTCTTCAGTAAGTCACCGGCCCAAGCCAGTAAGTCCCAAACTTCACTATGGGGGGAATTAGTAGTTCCTTTCTTAATAAGTATTGCTCAATCTAACCTAGCTAAAACATATATGTGACACTTTTTAACAATGAGACTGCACATACAGTATCTTCTTTTCTGGCTCAAAGTGGGGCCCCGTGAGTCTGGGGCCAGATCCCTAAGGGCAGTGTGCCCTGCCCCAGCTACTTGTGTCTCTGAGGAGGCCCAGTGAGGCTGATTAAGGGGGCGGGAAAAACTGCAAACCATGGCCGACCACCGTGTTCTGGGTGACGGGCATTTCTGAGGCTCCTCACAGGAAGGGGATGAGGATGCAAGGGGAAGCAGTGTGCATGTCCTATCCCCCTCCTCCAGCCTCCCAGTCTCTCTCTAGAACCCCTGTTGCCAGAGGTTGACAGGGAGCCAGCTAGCCAAGAGAAGTGGAGTTTCAGAATCTTCACTCAGACCAGGGTAGAGAAGTGTTCATCAAAGAGACGACTGAATGAAGAACCAGCTCACTCACACAATCAGTAAACAAGCACCCCATCGTGAGACAGGAACCTTTGAGAAGCCTTGCGGACAGCAACTGCACCAGCCTTTCACCTATTCTGAAAGTGTGCATGCAATTAAATGTGAACAACCTTATTACCGTAATAACCAAACCAGGCAAAAAGTCACAAGAAAAAAAAACTACAGATCGATATCCCTTATAAACATAGACCCAAAAATCCTAACAAATTAAATACAACAACATATAAAAAGAATTATACACCATGACCAAGTAGGATTTATACCCAGAATGCAGCATTGATTCAACATATGAAAATTAATCAATGTCAGACACCATATTAATAGTATAAGGAGGAAAAAATACATAATCATCTCAACAGATGTAGAAAAAGCATTTGACAAAATTCAGCACTCTTTTATGATAAAAGCACTCAGCAAACTAGGATAAGCAAGGAATTCTCTCAACTTGATAAAGGGCATCTATGAAAAATCTACAATTAACACCATGTTTAATGTTCAACATTTTACTGGAGGTTCTAATGAGGAGAAATAGGCAAGAAAATAAAATAAAAGACAGCAGGTTAGAAAGGAAGAAGGAAAACTCTCTCTATTCACAGGTGACATAATCCTGTACATAGAAAATTCTAAGGATTAAAAAAATTATTAGAGCTCATATACAAGTTCAGCAAAGTTTCAGGATACAAGATAAATATATAAAGATCAGTTGTATTTCTATACAATATCAATGAATAATTAGAAAATAAAACGAAATGAAAAAAGCATTTCCCTTTATAACATCCAAAGAATAAATGCTTAGGAATAAATTTAGCTAAAGAAATGCAAGACTTGCACGCTTTAAACTACAAAACATTGTTGAAAGAAATTTTTTTGAAAGACCTGAATAAATGGGAAAACATCTCTTGTTCATGACTTAATATTGCTTAAATGACAATATTCCCCAAATTGATCTATAGATTAAATGCAATCCCTATCAAAATTCTAACTTCCTCTTCTGCAGAAATTGACAGCATATACTGCGTACATATGAACACACAAATCAATGGAATAGAATTGATGGTCCAGATATAAACCTATGCATCTATGATAAATTAATTTTTGACAAAGGTGCCAAGACAATCAATGGGGAAAGGATAGTCTTTCAACAATTAGTTTAGGACAACTATATGTCAACACGCAAGAGAATGAATTTGGACTCCTACTTTATACCATATACAACAACTAACTCAAAATATATCAAAGACCTAAATGTAAAAGATAAAACTAAGAAACTCTTAGAAGAAAACACAGGAAAAAATCTTCATGACCTCGGATTAGGCAAAAGTTTCTTAGCTATGATATGTTTTTTTTTTTATGATATGCTTTAGCACAAGCAACTTAAGAAAAAAATAGATAAATTGGACTTTATCAAAATTAGAACCTTTCCTAATCTTGTGCTGCAAAATTATACTATCAGGCAAGTGAAAGGACAACCCACAGAATAGGAGAAAATATTTGCAAATCATAAGTCTGATAAAAGTCTAGTATCCAGAATATGAAAAGAACTCTAACAAATGAACCAAAAAAAGACAAATAACCTAATTTGAAAATGGATTCCCCAAAAAAGTTATACAAGTGGCCAGTGCACATTGTTCTTGGGTCACTCATACTCAGTAATGTCCTGGTAAGTGTTTAATAACTAGCTCTCTGAAAAGCTGACTGATTTGTAGTAATGAACAATTTCTGTGATGTAGATACCCTCAGCACGGTTCATTTCGAGCTGTCATACAGCATCACTGGATGTGGAGTTGGAAAGATGCTTGCAATCAATTTTTGTGAGCCAGTGCAAGCTGGCTCCAGCACACCACTGCTTATATTAATAATAATTCTTAATTCTGTTTTGGTTATATAAACAGAATTTGTATAAACTCTTCCTGATGCCCATTTTTGTTAATTTTTCAATTCAGGAGTATTAGTGCCCTATCAGCTGACAGTGCTTACTTGGTGGGTTTTGCTACTAGTTCTTACTTCACAGCAGCATTTTGCTACTGCAAGATAGTGCAGTTGGCTCTACAAATCCAGATTGGGAGCTGAGTGGGGGAAAGTGAGCAGTGCAATCTATAAGCTTTTTATGTAGTGCCAGCAGGTCCACCATCAATGAC